TGTGCTCTGGGCAATACGTGCTATTGTGTTCACTTTACAGTTGAGAAAGCAGACTTAGAGGCATCTAACACATGTCCTGCATTGCTGGAAAATAGGCTGGGCTCGTGATTCCAACCTGGTCTTACTTCAATGTGCGACTCATCTATTGCTGAATAGTTTCAAATTGGGGGAAAATAAGACATTTTATGTTAATAATCTTGAAAAAGAAGGACAGAGTAGGTGGGATCACAATACTGGATATCAGGTTATACTACAAAGCTACTATAATCAAAACAGCTTGGTACTGGCACAAGAACAGGCATATAGACCAGGAGAACAGAACAGAGAACCCAGAAATAGACCCAAGATATTATGCTCAATTAATATATGACAAAAGCGGCAAGAGCATACAATGTTGTAAAGACAGCCTCTTTAATAAATGGTGTTGCCCTGACCAGTTTAGTCAGCAATTAGAGCATCAGCCTGCGGTCCAGAGAGACCTGGGTTTTGTTCCTGCTAAGGGCACGTACCTCGGTTGCAGTTTGTCCCGGCCCTAGTTGGTCATGCAGGTGGCAGATAGAACACCGTCACTAAATCACAACACAAATGATGTTCTCTTTACAAAGCCTATAATGTTTTTAAAATGTTTGCTCAAGACGAGTTAGGGAGACAAATTGGAAGGATTTTTCTGGCAAAGAGAACGTTATGCATAAAAACTATGGGGGTGTGTTAGTTTTTTGAAGTATTTTAATGATAGTGATTGAGGTGACAATCCTAGAGTGTGGGTCTGTATGACAACTAATTAATGTCAAGACCTATACAGTGTATCAATTGAGGAGGATCATGTAAAGATTTTCAGATATACTGAAGAAGAGATGAGGAGTCATATAGGCATTTTTTTTTTTTTTTTTTTTTAGATCCTCACCCGAGGACATTTCTCCATCTTTTGTTCAGATAGAGTAGGAAGGAGAGAGAGAGAGAGAGAAACATCGAAGTGAAAGGGACACACAAGTGGCTGCCTCCCACATGACCCAACCAGGGTGGGGGACAAACTGCAACTGAGATATGGCCCCTAGCGGAAACCAAACCCAGGTCTCTCTGGACCACAGGCAGACAGTCTAATGGCTGAGCCAAACCAGCCAGAGCCATATAGGCATTTTATGCAGCAGAGTAATATGTTTATATCTGTAGCAGGTAGAATAATGGAAAGGATAGAAACTGAGAACACACACATTGGTTAGTATGTGAGTCAACAAGGATTTTTTTCCTGTTGCAATTGTCACAAAAATCTAATTTATACTAGATTAGGTGGGGGGACTTTATTCATTAAGGAAACTAAAAAGTTGAAGGAAAGCTAGTTGAACTCTGGGATTAAGCAATAACATCCAGACTTGATCTCTTTTCTACTACATTGGTTAAAGCAGGAATTTTCATCTGATGTGCCTCCAAAACTTTTAAAACATCCAATACCTGATTATTTATTCAGGGGCACTGACCTCTTTTCCCTTAGATTGTCAAATAATAAAATGACAACAGCCAACAAAACAATAACCATTCTGTATGATTGTATCAAAATTGTACCTTTTTTTTGTCTGATCTGCAAAAAATGTATATTTTGGGCATGCTACGTAATTTTAATAATTACTTTATGTGTACCATGAGATGAAAAAGGTTGAAAATCTCTGAATTAAAGTATCAGCTTTTAATGCATAACAAATTACCCCAAACTTAGTGGTTGAAAGAATAAATATTTCTGCAGCTCACGATTATGTAGGTCAAAAATTTGGTCTATGTAGCTGGTAGTTTTCATCTCAGCTAACCTCACATTTGGTCATGGTTTGTTGTGAATCAACTAGGTGGCTTTGCTTCTTGAAGTTTGCTTAATGTCAGCTGAAGCTATACGTATGACTGGGCCACATGCCCAGTATCCAGAAAACTAATCCCAGGATTGAGCACATGACCTTGGCAGGGTTCCATAAGTAAAAGCAGAACAATATAAAGTATAAGGCCTAAGATTAGGCTTGGTACCAGGTCCAATGATATTTATGACAAATTCCATTACTCGAGGAAAGTTAGAAGTCCAACCTAGATTAAAGAGGTTCTGGGAATGAACTTCTGTTGATTGTGGAAGCTGTAAACTAACATTAGGGAGAGGAATAGATACAGAGAGGGGCACAATTTTGGCACTTTAAGTAAATAAAAGTACCAGTCAGTTTTTCTATCTCTAAACGTGATTCTTCGCTCCTTCTGTAGCTTTCTCTGACTATGAGAAATGTATATTGAAGTTCTGGTGGCCAATATTTTTATCTCTGAAATGATTTTTTATTGTTTTGCTTGATTTTTCTTAATGTCTTAGATTAGACTACCTGACAAATAGCATAGATTGTGTTACTTAAATAAAAATTTATTTTTCACAGTTCTGGATGCTGGAAAGCCTGCAATTGGGGTGCCAGCATGGTCATATAGTTTCTGGTAAGAGTCCTCTTTCCAGTTTGCAAATCGATTTCTTCTTGCTGTGTTCTCACATGGTGGGGAGACAGAGAGCAAGTTCTCTCATGTGTCTACTTATAAGGGTGCCATCCTTGTTACCCAGTTACCACCCAAAGGCCCCCTTTACAAATACCATTATATAGGGCAGCAATTTTCAAACTTTTTTTTATCTCATGTCACACTAATTATTCAAATTCTGCAAAACACCAAAACACATATTTTTTTGCCAATATGACCAAAATACAAAAAGTATAATTTTAATTGACTTAGAAAAAAGATAACAGTAATTATTTACCCTTTTTGATCCAAAGTGACCTTTAAAATATCAGGTACCTATACTTGTACGTAAAAATTTCTGGACCAAGAATTAACCAATCAGATGCAATTTTATTATGCAATAAGACTAGTAGACACAACTCTATTATGACCTATATATTTATGGTTCAAATCAGGGCATTCACATTTGGATTGCTATTGTTGTGTTGGCCACTGTTGATTTTTTACTTGACGATCTAAGGTCAGTGTCCCTCAATAAATTGTCAGGTATTTCATGTTTTAAAAATCCTTGTGGCACACCACTTGAAAATCTTTGATACAGGGCATAAGGTTTCAATATATGACTATTAGAAGGGGACAAATACATTTAGTTCATAGCACCTAGATTGATGTCTGAATCAGACTTTGATTCTTCATATCAGGGTCATGTACTTCTTTTAAATGGGCAGGGCTGGTATGGGTAGGAAGCCTATCACAGACTCCATGGACTGAGAGTTGGTTAAGAGAGTTATTAGACTGATAATGAAAAGCATAGGTTCCAAATATAGGAAATCAGGCAAACAGAAAGTGTGTACTCAGTAATCTAGTGGGGAAAATCTTAATTCCTATATGTTTTTAATGACAGGTTATTTCTATTTTTATATTCAATTATTGAGAACAATAGAAGCATTCGCTATAATCTAACACCTTGAATTAGCAAATGGCATTTTGCTAATGTTAATAATATTTTTGTTTGACCTACAATATTCTTTTTGCTTTGTATTCATAAATGACAAACCTTTGAGCCTTAATTAGTTAATGACAAGTGGGAACACATTTGCAAGTATAAAGCACTAGTGCTTCATAAAGAGCCTGTTCTTATTACCTTAAACCCAACACATATTTCATATTTTCCTTTGTCTGGTTTTTCTGCCAATCTGTGATAACTGAACATCTCAGATGGTCTCTGACTTTTGAATTCCAAGCTATTAGTAATTAACCATGTTTGATTCTAGATTTATGTGGATCTGTACTTGCTTTGGGGGGCATCTTACCTTCCCCATTACCTAAACTTGGATCATAGATATTGATTCCTTTCTTATTGATGACATTTCAAAGAGATAAAAACCTATCAGACTTCCACAGTATACCAGCATTTTTAGACTCATGTTTACACTTTTTCAGGCCTCTCATACTTGAGATAGAAATAAGTTCAACCGCTGTTTCTCCATTTCCTTAATCAAACTAAAAATCTTGTAACAGTGCATTCTGCATAGCAAATGCTCAATGAATGCATGAATCATTGTCTTGAACAAAGGGTTATTAACTATAAACAATGCCTGCTCCATGAGCTTAATAGTAATTTTCTATTGCTGAAGACAATATACTCTAAACAGTTTTTAGCCTTAATGTATATAGACTGACAAAAGATGATGATAAAACCCACTCCATTAGGACATGAACATAGCAATTAATGTGATATGAACTTAAAATTAATCTCCATGTATTAACAATGTTATTGTACATTAAAAAAAGACTTAATTCTTGATATATATATTTCTATGTAAAGTGGTATGTGTGTTTGTGTATATGTACTTTAATTTTGTTTTTACTTTACTTGATATTACCCAAATATTATTGAGCATTCATATGCTATGTTGAGGTGGTTCTCTTTTAAAAATGGAGTTCCATTTTTCTCCATAGCTTTCTAATTGAAGTTCTGTGTTTATTTTGTAAATAAATAATCTGTTTTGATGTTTAGCCTCCATCAGTGATCTGTCAGTTCCAGGAGGCAGTAACTGTGTTTGCTATGTTCTGTTCATTACTTACATACATAATGCTCAAACTAATTTATTCACCAGGTATTCGTTAATTTTTTAAAATCAGATGTTAGACCTATGTTAGATGATCATGGTTCTTAGAACTTTATAAAGTAATAAAGTACAGTGTTCTAGGTATTCTTTAAATGACAAGGTCTCTGTTCTTGAATGAATCTAACACATAAATGGGCAATCACCATGCCACACACTATATGCATTTATATAGCTATGTGCAATGTTATCAGATCACATAAAAATAAATTGTTTACTGTGAGCCTGGGGAGGTCAAAAAGGAGTGCAAAAATTTTGTTTTGAAAATATGTGTAGACCTGGTCAAATAAAACAAGGTAGAAATCAGTTCACTCCGTAGCCCAGTGAGGAAAGTGTCTCGGACGCACACGGCCGCACGGTGGGACTCCGAGGACACCTACCACCAGGTGAACGCCGCCTGTCACCATGGGTAAAGGAAACCCCAACAAGCCAAGGGACAAGATGTCCTCGTACACCTCCTTCGTGCAGACTTGCCGGGAGGAGCACAAGAAGAAACACCCCGACTCTTCCGTCAGTTTTTCTGAATTCTCCAAGAAATGCTCGGAGAGATGGAAGACCATGTCTGCAAAGGAAAAGTCAAAGTTTGAAGATACGACAAAGAATGACAAAGCTCGCTATGACCAGGAGAGGAAAAATTACGTTCCTCCCAAAGGTGATAAGAAAGGAAAGAAAAAAGATCCCAATGCTCCTAAAAGGTATCCATCTGCCTTCTTCCTGTTTTGCTCTGAACATTGCCCAAAGATCAAAAGTGAACACCCTGGTTTATCCATTGGGGATACTGCAAAGAAATTGGGTAGAATGTGGTCTGAACAGTCAGCTAAAGATAAGCAACCACATGAACAAAAAGCAGCTAAGCTAAAGGAGAAATATGAAAAGGATATTGCCGCATACTGTGCCATGGGCAAAAGTGAAGTGGGAAAGAAGGGCCCTGGCAGGCCAACAGGCTCAAAGAAGAAGAATGAACCAGAAGATGAGGAGGAGGAGGAAGAGGAAGATGAGGAGGAGGAAGAGGATGAAGATGAAGAATAAATGGCTATCCTATAATGATGTGTGGAGTATGTGTGTGTGCTCTCAGGCAATTGTTTTGCTAAGAATGTGAATTCAAGTGCAGCTCAATATTAGCTTCAGTATAAAAACTGTACAGATTTTTGTATAGCTAAGATTCTTTGTAGAGAAAATACTTTTATAAAAATGAAGGTTGTAGCTTTTTGACGGGCTACTACATACAGTTAGATTTTAAGGCTTCTGATGTGAAATGTTTTTAAATATTTAATGGCTTTTTAAATTCTTGAATTGGGTATGGTAGCACAGCAAACTCATAAGAATTAGAATCAATAGTAAATTTTGGGTTTTCTAGACTGTTGCATTTTGTTTTTTAAAAAATTTTTGTAATAAAATTATGTATATTATAAAATAAATAAATAATAAAACAATATAGAGAATATACCACAATAAAATGAATATGACTGTACAGGGTGGGGCAAAACAAGGTTGATAGCTGTGAGTACACAAAACACAGAGTTGATTCTTGTATTATTATTTATTAATCATATTATTTTCCATATAATAAACTGTAAACCTACTTTTGCCATAACCTATATTCTCTGCAGAGTGTATAGTCCATGGGAGTGAATGTGCTTTTGAGAGGTAGGTGTCATGTTACTTATATTAACTCATCAGCAGCCTGATACTACATAGGGCCTCACAAAATAAGTGGTATGGTTTTTACCTTGAAGTTAATAATGTGGGACTTTTGAAGGAAATACTTGTTTTTATAGCAGACAAGGAGTAAATACTTGTAAAATAATAGTTGCTTAGTAAAGTACTGGAGTGCTAACAACCCCTTCTTGTTTCACTCATGCCTTTTTATTTATGTTTTCAAACATTATATTTATTTATTTTTATATATTTAATTTATTTTTTATAGATGTTTCTCTTTTTTCCTTCATTGACACTCGTCTCCCACTCCAACCCCCCCCCCCCGCCCCCCGCTCCCCGGTGTTATTGTCTCTGTCCTTGTTTACACATACATGTGTAAAAGTTCTGTGGTTTATTGCTTCCTTCCCCCCACATCCATCTTTTCTGAGGTTTGTCTGCACCACACTTCTGTGTCTCTGGGTCAAATTTTGTTCCTCAGCTTGTTTTGTTGATTATATTTCACAAATAAGTGAGATCATATGATGTTTGTCTTTCTCTGATTGGCTTTTTTTGCTTAAATAATACTCTCCAGGTCCCTCCATGTCGTCTCAAAGGATAAGAGATATTTCTTTCTTATAGATGCATAGTATTCCATTGTATATATGTGCCATGGCTTTTTATCCACTCATCTATTGATGGACACTTGGGTTGTTTCTATGTCTTCATGATTGTAAATAGTGATGCTATGAATATAGGGGTACATATATTTTTTTATTGATTGGTGTTTTAGGCTTCTTAGGGTATATTCCTAAAAGTGGGATCACTGAATCAAATGGCAGTTTGATTTTTAAATTTTTGAGGAAACACCATATTGTTTTTCACAGTGGCTGCACCAGGCTGTGTTCCAAACAACAGTGTACTAGAGTTCCCTTTTCCCCACACCTATGCCAGCATTGTTTGATAATTTGTTGATAGCAGCCATTCTGGCTGGTGTGAGGTGATACCTCATTGTTCTTAATTTACATCTCTAATGATTAGTGATGTTGAGCATTTCTTCATATGTCTCTTGGCCACTTGTATGTCCTGTTTGGAGAGGTGTCTATTTAGGTTCTCTGCCCATTTTTTAATTGGTTTTTTTGTCTTCTTTTTGTTGAGTTGTATGAGTACTCTATATATTTTGGATATTATCCCCTTATCTGATGAGTCATTGGCAATTATGCTCTCCCATACAGTGGTTTCCCTTTTCATTTTGATGGTTGTTTCTTTTGCTGTGCAGATTTTGTTTGATGTACTTCCATATGTTTATTTTTTTCTTTGTTTCTATGCATTAGGCACTGTATCAGTAAAATGTCTGAAATTTTGTTCCCTACATTGGTCACACTTAAGTCTTTTATCCAGTTTGAGTTTATTCTTTTATATAGTGTAAGTCAGTGGTCTGGCTTCATTTTTTGGTATGTAGCTGTTGAATTTTTCCAACACCATTTATTGAAGAGGCTATTTTGATTCAACTGTATGCTCTTGCAACCTTAGTCAAATATTAATTGAGCAGAATGACTTGGGTCAATTTCTGAATTCTCTTTTCTGTTCCATTGATCTGTATGCCTGTTCTTGTGCTAGTACCAGGCTATTTTGATTACAATGGCTTTGTAGTATAACTTGATATCTGGTATTGTGATCCTCTTACTTTGTTCTTCTTTCTCAAGATTGCTGTGACTATTCAGGGTTTTTTGATTCCATATAAACTTTTGGAGTATTTGTTCTAGTTCTGTGAAATATGTCGTTGGCATTTTGATGGGAATTGCATTAATCTATAATTTTCTTTGGGTATTATGGATATTTTAATTATGTTAATTCTTTCAATTTATGTGTAAGGTGTATGCTTCCACTTTTTTATATCATCCTCTATTTTTTTCTCAGTGATCTGTAGTTTTCTGTGAATAAGTCCTTTGCTTTTTTGGTTATGTTTATTTCTATCTTAATTTTTTTGCCACAGTGGTAGATGGGGTTGCTTTTTAGTTTCTCTTTCATTGAGTTCATTGTTGCTGTACAAGAATGCCATCGATTTCTTGATGTTAATTTTGTATCCTGCTACTTTGCCAAATTTATTTATTAAATCTAGAAGATGTTTTATGGAGTCTTAAGGATTTTCTATTTACAGTATTATGTCATCTGCAAATAATGACAGTTTCACTTTCTTCTTTTCAATTTGGATTCCTTTTATTTTATTTTTCATGTCTAATAGCTGTGGCTAAGACTTCCAGTACTATGTTAAATAAAAGTGGTGAGAGTGGCCATCCTTGTCTAGTTCTTGTTCTTAAGGAAAATGCTTCTAGTTTTTGTCCATTGATTATGATGTTGGCTGTAGGCTTTTTATATTTTGCCTTTATCATGTCAAGATATAATCCCTCTATTCCCACCTTGCTGAGTGTTTTTATCAGAAGTGGGTGCTGGATTTTGTAAAATGTTTTTATAGCATCTATTGACATAATTATATGGTTTTCTTTTTATCATTCATTTTGTTTATGTGGTATATCACATTTATTGATTTGCAAATATTGTACCATCCTTGCATCCCTGGGATGAATCCCACTTGGTTATGATGAATAATTTTCTTGATGTATTGCTGAATCCAATTTTGTAATATTTTGTTAAGGATTTTGGCATCTCTGTTCATTAGGAATATTGGCCTGTAGTTTTCTTTTTTTTTTTTTGCAGTGTCTTTATCTGGTTTTGGAATTAGAATTATGTTGGCTGCATAGAATGAGTTAGGGTCTTCCATTATCTTGGATTTTTTGGAATAATTTGAGAATGGGTGTTAGATCTTCTTTGAATGTTAGGAAAAACTCCCTCATGAAGCTGTCTGGGTCTAGGCTTTTGCTGGGAGTTTCTTGATTTTATCTTCAATTTCCTTAGTTGTTATTGGCCTATTCGAGTTTTTTTTTGTTTGTTTGTTTGTTTTTATCTCTTCTCAGTTCAGTTTTGGAAGACTGTATGTTTCTAGAAATTTGTCTGTTTCACCTAGATTGTCCAATTTGTTGACGTATAATTGTTCTTAGTATGTTTGAATGATCCTTCTAATCTGTGCTGTCAGCTGTTACTTTTACTTTTATCATTTCTGATTGTGTTTATTTGGGTCTTCTCTTTTTTCTTGGTGAATCTGGCAAAGGGTCCGTCAGTCTTGTTTATCTTTTCAAAGAACCAGCTCTTTGTTTTATTGATCCTTTGAATTGATTTTTAGTTTCTGTGTTGTTTATTTCTGCTTTGACTTTCGCATTTTCTTTTTTCTACTTGCTCTGGGTATTTCTTTTTGTTTACTTTCTAGTTCTTTGAGTTGTAGGGTTAGAAAGTTAATTAGGAATTTTTCTTGTTTCTTGAGATATGCTTGTAGTGTTATAAACGTCCCAGGACTGCTTTTGCTGCATCCTATAGATTTTTTTATTTGTTTCCTGAAAGTTTTTAATTTCTTCCTTGATCTTTTTGGTAACCCAGTCATTGTTTAATAACATGCTATTAACCTCTGTGTGTTTAAATATTTTTGTGTGTATTTGATGTAATTGATTTCTAGTTTCATGCCATTGTTATCTGAGAAGATTCTTGATACTTCAATCTTGAGTTTGTGATTTACTTTGTGACCTAACATGTGGTCTATCTCTGAGAATGTCCCTTGTGCACTTGAGAAGAATATATATTCTTCAGCTTTGGGGTGAAATGTTTTTAAATATCAATTAAGTCCAGCTGATCTAGCTGACTGTGTATCCCTGTTAATTTTTTGTCTGGAAGATCTATCCAGTGTGTTAGTGTGGTGTTAAAGTCATTCATCATGATTGTATTGCTATTGATCTTTTCTTTGAAGTCCTCCAGAATATGTTTAAACATATTTTGGTGCTCCTGTGTTTGACGCATATATGTTTACCAAGGTTATATCCTCTTGTTGTATTGTTTCTTTTAATATTATGTAGTGACCTTCTTTGTCTCTTATTATTGCCCTTGTTTTGAGGTCTATCTTATCAGATATGAGTACACCAGCTTTTTATTCATCTCTATTTCCATGGAAAATTTTATTCCATCCCTTTACTTTCATCCTGTGTGAATCTTTTGTCATGAGTTGGGTCTCTTGTAGACAGCAAATATATATATAGGTCATGTTTTCTTATCCAATCTGCTATCCTATGTCTTTTAATTGGGGCATGTAAGCCATTTACATTTAAGGTTATTATTGATAGATACTTATTAGTTGCCATTTTTATTTTATGCCTGTGTTTTTCTCTCTCTCTCTCTTTTTGTTTTTCTTCTTCTTAAGACACTCCCTTCAGCATTTCTTGTAGGGCTGGTTTGGTGGTGGTAAATTCCTTTAGCTCTTTTTTGTCTGTGAAGCTCTTTATTTCATCTTCAATTTTGAGTGATAGCCTTGCTGGATAAAGTAATCTTGGATTCAGACCTTTGCCTTTCATTACTTTGTACACTTCATGCCACTCTTTTCTGACCTGCAGTGTTTTTATTGAGAAATCAGCTAACAGTCTATTGGGAGATCCCTTGTAGGAAACTTTCTG